CAGAAACTCAATCAGAAGAATGCCTTTCCAATCCCAAAAGACCGTGGCCATAATTTTTTGTGTTGAAGGTTCTTGTTTGAATTTTCGTGGTTTCGTCGGTGAATTTGAGTGATGCCATTCACTGGATTGACGTTTATTCTCTGGAGTGAAGTATGCTACCCACGTTTCAACACCGGTAACAACATGATTCATGAACTCATCACCACTCATCGTAGCGCTCCAAAAATGATAAAGAATGTGTCAAACACTTCTTTTTGTGTTTTTCTGTCAACATTTTTGGCACCCATCTCGAACACATTTTTTGTAATGATTTTTGTCTGAAACAATGTGATAAACAACAGATCTTGAAAGTTGTGGAAATTTCTCATGAAGCTCGTCAATCGTAAAGCACCGCATTTGGTTCCTCATCAACTTTTTTCTGTCAAGTCTTCATCAATGACAGTTGGTCATCCAGGTAGTTCTTCGTCATGAACATATGTTCTTCCTTCATTGAAAAACCTACACCATTTACGCACATTACTGTCATTCATTTCACCTTCACCATAAACTTTAACAAGCTGCCGGTGAATTTCGACGGGAAAAACTTGTTTTGAGATTAAAAACCGAATAACCGACCGCACTTCACAATCGGTGTATTAACTGGCGTAACTGGGTTAATCGGCGTTGACAAACAAAGCAGTGTTACGATAGAACCACTAGTGGCAGAGACATGAAAACAACAGACTGCGTAGTTGGGGACTGGGCAAGTGTAGCTGACCTTGAGCGGGCGTCACGTGACAGCCTGTGCGGTTGCTATGCGCAAAATGTTCATACTTTAAAAACGGCCTTCGTACCAGATTACGTAACCGCAGTGAAGAACACAACACCTTAGCTGAATGAAATTCGAAAATACCTCAGATAATCTAAGATCAGATGACATAGTAAAAAGAGACCCCTTCAGACACAAAGTAAATAAGTAGGAAAATGCAGCAGAGTAACCAAACCAATACCGACCAAAGTGGTCAGAACAACATAAACATGCTTTCTCGGAAAGAATGAAAGCATAAGGAAAAACAAGAACCCAAAGAAAAATTGAGTGCCTTGGTTAGCGTCTTTCGTACTCGTATATGGAGAGCATACGCCAATAATAATAATAATAATAATAATAATAATAATAATAATACAAGTATCTTGTAAAAATTTTAGTCTATTCATTTCATTTTTTGTCGCGCCGTTTTTGTCAGCATTGTTGCGTTCATAACTTCAAAATTAAGTTCAACGATGGCGAGAACTTTTTGAAAATTCCACTTTGGTTGAACAATTTTGTGATTCGTTTTTTACTTGCTGAAGGTGAAACACTAGCCAATATACGCCCTGGAATCACTAAAGCCTATGGCGGTAGTTACATGAACCGCGGATTTTTTTACATTTGGGTAGAACAGTTCAAAAGAGATCAAGACTCAGTGACTGACTAACACCGTTCTGGCCCACGTAAAGTTTCATCTCCCTCACTTGAAACTCCAATTGATGACATAATTCGTGCTGACCGGGGTGTCGCATTGGAAATGATGGCAGGAAAAGTTCAAATTAGTGTTGGTACTGTTCATAACATCATCAATAACAAGCTTAAGTACCGCAAAACGTGTGCAAGAAGGGTCCCGAAGGAGCTGACGGGCCTACATTGGGACACAAGATTGAGAATGTTCATGAAGCTAAATGAACGTTGTGAACGAGAAGGCAAGCACTTCCTCAATAAAATTTTAACTTGTGATCAGTATCGCAACGAACTGAGTGTGGGACCGCCCGCACAACTTTTCTCCGAGCCCCCTTTATAAAAGTGTATAGCAGACAAGAGTAGTATTGGTATCGTAAATAATAAAAATATCTCCAAAATATACGCCCTATTTAACTGGGCCCGCTCGAATCGCGAGCCTCGTGGGCCCGTGTTACGCCACTGCTTGGGATGAAACGTGGATTTACAATTACGAGCCAGAATATCAAAAAGCAAATCATGATGTAGAGGCTAACAACTCAACAGTCAAGAAAAAAATTCAAAACCACAGCATAGGCAGGAAAAAAACAAACAAAAAACATGTTGACGGTGGTTTGGGACGCTGAAAGTGCGTTTACTGCATTTACTCTTTGACCCTTCGATTTAACACGGGCGGCATGGAGCATTTTGCTGGCACAACCAGACTGTGGCGCTGCGCGATGACCGAGGGAATCTCAGGAGAATACCAAGATTTTGTCTTCGTCTGGCTCGCCGCAACGTAATTTTATGAATTGATATTGAAAGTACACAAGTTCAGTCAATTATTGACGGCATTTAATGTATTATTAATTATTATTAGTGGATTTGTTTTCATTATATATTAGATTTGATTCAAAATATACATTTAATGAATTCTTCATGTAAAATTGGCCTTTCTGGATGGAAGTCACTTTGTGTCGCGGAAGCCAGTCTGCCAACAGCTGGCCAGTAGTTTGCGAGCGTTCTTGTGAATACAAATGTGTGTGGAAGATCTTTCAATATTGCAATGTATACCACTGTAGTGAGGTTTTCGAAATAAAATTATTTTATTTGTAAGAAACGTATCGAAGCAATAGTGCTTATTGTAATGTGCTGGAGTCGAACTTAAGTGCCCAGTGGAAATCAAAACCAGAACCCCGTGCGCGGGAGGTGCATCCTGAATTTTTTAATATAGGCTATTATTTCACTTAGTTTTAATTAAATTGAATTGCTCACATTTTTATTATATATTCGTATTTTGAATTTAGGAAATTACATTTCCGTCATTCGATGGAGATGCAACCTCCAGTCTGTTGAGGTACCAGCCGTCACTGTGTGAAACACGTTCTGTTAGTCTTTAAGGACTCGGTCGAATCGTTTCTGAACCGAATCTTAAAAAGTAATATTATGTTTAACAATATTAAAGCATTTAAATAGTGTATTTTATGCGTAATTTAATTGAGTTAAATATGTTAATATTATTTTGTTATGATTAACGATAACAAGTTTTAACATATTGGACAAGTAAAGTAGAATATTTTAAATTTGTTGTGTCTATATGGACGCAACGCGTCTCCTAGCTCCTTAAGGAGCGTTGAGCGCTCTATGGAGTAATCCTCCGTTATAAGCACCCACGAGGAGTAGTCTGTCACGTCGCGGCGGTCGCAGTTAGGTCAGGGAATCGCCGACAGGCAGCGTCTTCGCCATGAGTAATCTACCCATCGGTCAGAGTTGAGAAGGATTAAGGATAGGTGTAAGGTTTAGAACGCTTCACAGGGGTTGGACTAGCCCATGTGAAGCAGGCAAACTCGTTTCGTCGTAACAAATTTCACATGAGGTTCTACGTGAATCGAACCCGGAACCTCCCGGAAGTAGTGAAAGGTTGGCGACTGTTTGTTAAACTTAATCTGTAACTTAAAAATAGCTATTTACGGTCCAAGTCCTCTTAATCTTTAATAACGAGGCCGCAATATTAACTGCGAGACGGAACGATAGAATAGCCGCTCTGTATTATTATATAAATAGAATCCACATTCCTTTCCTCACAACCAATTAAACCATCAAAATAGCCCCACTACTCTAAAAGAATCCACCAATCTGACAACACTGGGCGATCTAGTAACTCTAAGCCAGAAGCGTATGTAGGTAATCAGGCGCCCATCACAAACATGCATCCCTGTCAGAATACTTCAAATTCGGGTTTTGTTTTAAGGGCTATACTCTAAATAGCATCCCCTGTGAGAGGTGTCCATGGCTTGTGCTATGTCTGTTATACTGTAGATACGCCTCTGCCCAAGGCTTCGGAAGTATTTGCCGTCTTTTCCATTGGGCAGTCGCGTCGATTTGTATTAACCTTAAATGAAATTAGCCCAATTAGGTTTTATTCGGCAAAAAAATACAACTTACAAATATACAAAAAATTATCACTGTAAAAGCACAAGTTCAATAAGTTTTTTTTTTATTAAATAAAATTGATTCTAAAATATCAGCTCTTTAAATATATGATTAGTTTGGCGTAATTTTGCAAATTCTAATTTCTCGTGTTCTATTTCTTAGCCTTCAGGAAATATCACATTGGAATGCGACAATAGCATTTCGCCCCGCGAGACTTGTAGTTCGATCAATTCCATCTCATTGTTGGGACATGATTTAGTTATATGATATACTTTTAATTGTCAAATTTGTGTTGATATTTCTAGGAAATATTTAGTTTCTCACCTAATGTTCTATAATTTGCGATGAGTTTAACAAAAAATTGTGACAATGTGTTAATTCGAACATAAATTGCGGAATAAAGAGTATTACGTAACCATTACTAAAGGGAGAGAAAGTATGTGCTAATTAGCACCAATCGTTTCGTTACCAGGTCCTAGAATGAGTTTTTCTTTAAAAAAACGCCGACTTTTCCCGCAGCATTCCAATATTCGCTTGAATTAAAATACAATGATTGTCGGTATGCCATAAAATATCATTTTTGAGCAAATTCTGTGGACGGTTCTACTCCAGTGTTGTCCACGGAAGGACAAAAACTGAACAAGGCAGACAGAAGTTTCAAAAACAAAACAAAACCCCTTTTCGGTGTCAGGGACTTCCAAAAACATCGCTTTCAACATTCTCAGCAAAAAGTTAAAATCTGCTTATAAAATTTATCTTGAAAAGAACCTTTTACATATGACGACACCTCTTAGTAGACATTGTAATCAAGTAAACCTGCAGAACTCAAATCCAAAACCGTGAAGGATCAGTTGCGACCGCTTTCTTCCTCGGGGTCTTTTCTCTCTCCCAGTGGAACCAGAGAGAATGGAACAATATTGCCAACTGCTGCCAAAACAACTTTCCCCAGTGGTGACCACGTATTGATCGTTTGTTCTTAATCGTTTTATTATTTGCCCTCATACAGTTACAAGGAATTCAATATTTTACCTTGTTTCTTCTAATTCTAAATGCCCCAATGAATATTTGGAATTGAATATGAATTACAGTTTCGAAATCCTCTACTATGACGGACCAAGCCGGGCAAGCCATCGGTTGCCATGGAAACAAATACACAAACTTTCAAACGTCATGAACTACTTTGCAATGTAGAGCAAATTGCTTCCCCTCCCTATTCCGACTTCTTCGACCCATAAAGTACCTACGGCATCAGGGAGAATTTGTGTATAACCTTGATTTTAATGTGATAAATGGGAGAATGTCTTATCTCAGTTCATCCTAATATTGTTGAGATTCAAAAACTGGGAAATATCTTTTTAGGATTAATAGAAATTTGTAGATAAATAACATCAGATTCAATTGTGCATGGTGAGAATCATGAAGATTGATTATGGATAGAATTCATATTTAACTTAAAGAAGCAATGAACAACTGTGCAGAAAATGAGAAGATAAAGGAGGGTGACTCTCCTAATGATTCAAAAGTGCCAAAATGGCTTCAAGATATGTCAAAGTAAGATGTCAGGATGAGAGAGTACTTGTTGATACAATAAGATTGCAATTAAATACTTCAGTTGCCACGCAAAATGCCTTAAATTAATTTTTATGTTTAGCAACGTGAAACAGAAGCGACCGGGATCATGGAGAATGTCACATCATGTGCATGAAAGTGAGACTGATATACCCCACAGTCCAATAAACATAGATGCTCCAAAGTCTTCCGGAAGTGGGCTGATTTCTTTATTTGATGACCTTCGTGTGGAATCTCGATCATCCAGGTTTAACTTTTAAAATTTCCTTTGTTTAAAATTGTCATTTAACAATATTGCAAAGAAGTTATTTACTTTACAGAGGGAGTGACATTTTGAGTCCTCGACGGGAAGGATCTGCTCGTCATGGAAGAAGAGCTATCCAAGTATCTGAGTCTCAGTCAGCTGGAAGTAGTCCTTATGAATCATTACATCCTACTCCTGGATACAATGAATTCATGTACTCATGTGAAACACCTGATCTTCTCAGTGGCAGGAGTACTCCGTCTAAAAATAGAATAGATAATTTCTCTCCTGGAAGTGAAACATCTTTACTTTCAAAACATGAATCTAACATTGCATCAGAGGTTTTGCCTCCAAAGGATGAAAATAACTCTTTGGAAGAATCATGGAATTCCCTAACATTTTTTAATAAAAGGCATAGGGGTCGATTAAGCAGAAAAAGAGGTACCTATTTCATTTTATCTGAACCTATTTGTAATTAATGCAATAAAAATGCATGAGTAATGTTAAATTTATTTTGGTGCAAATTGCAAACATATTTTAAAATGTTATTTTTTTTCTCTAAGATGGTACTACATCATCTCCCACACATTATTCTGGAAGTGGACATGAGAGCTCTGAAACACCATCAACAACAGCCACAATACGAATAACTCCTCCAGATTTTATTATTCCAGAATTGCCATCTGGTCATCTCTTAGATTTCAATATTCGTTCTACATGGGGTGATAAACATTACTTAGGTTTAAATGGCATTGAAATTTTTTGCAGTACAGGTGAACCTGTGCAAGTAACAAAGGTAACTATCATCAAACATGATTTACAAGTATTCTTTTGCATTTTTCAAGAGATTGATGACTTGGCATAACGATATATTTGCACCTTGTTCATTAAGTATTTATAACAATGTCAAAAAAGCACACAATAGCATGTTAGTTCAATGTAAGTTATGTAACACTTATTTGGTCTTGTTTCACACGCTTAACTCTCTATTTACTCTATTATATACCTTTTTAAAGTCTATGAACAACAGGTAATTTGGAAAATTCACTTTAATGCACCTGTCTAGGTTTATTTGTATTGTGGTTATGGTATCTTTTGTGCTCATTTCATTTTTGAATTTGTTTTGTTCCTCTCCCAAATATGTACCTATTTATACAGTCTGTTTCATAATAAATGGCAAAAAGTTTTGATGCTGTTAGAAGCGTTATCTATCTATAATTATTGCAATCTGTTTTTCATCCTTTCTCATACAAATTAATTTTCATGTCTGCCATTTTTTCTGGGTTGTATATTCTTCCCGAACTTTGTTAAATAAATCTCGCATGATGTCCTCAAGTTCTTTACTTCCTTATTTTATTAGTTCTATGGCAATTTCATCTACTCCTAGACTTTTCTTGTTCTCAGCTTTTCTTAGTGCCCTTTCAAGGGCTTCCTTTTATAACTGGAATGTTATTTTTTATTCTTCAATCTTTGTGTCATATCTTTGCATCTGCCATATCATTCACATTCCATAATGTCTTAAAGTGCTCTATCCAATTCTTCTCAGGCATGAAATCATGTTGTTCGTTATGCAAATGTGGCAAATGTTGTTCCTTATATCAGCTCTGAGCATTCTTATGATTTTAAGACTTATCTTTTGGGGGCCTGTGATGTCCCTTTCCAGCGATTTTAGAAATTTCTGCCCATCATCTCTTTTAATTTGCCTAATCTCATCTATTTCATTTTTGTATGCAAAACATTTCTATATTGCCACTCTCATTAAACATTGTTCAATTAACTATACATATACTATACTATTACAAAAGGTCAATTTACTTCTTAGATTCTAATTCTAACATTCCGCCAGAGTCTCAGAAAAGATGAAGATTTCAAAAGTTTCAAAGAAGTTCCTTATGGCAACTTTCATCCTTCCTTTTAAACAGAATTAAATAAACTGGTGTGCTAGAAAATGTAGAACATGTTTCACATCACTCATGTACTTGAAAGAATATTTAAAAAATTTGGTAATGTATCAATTCTTCTTATTAAGCCTAATCATGTAGCAGTGAAAAAACAAAGAAACTTCTAGCATTAATAGTGAAGTGTACAGAAAATACTGACGATGCGTGAGGCATGAGGAAGATTGAATTGTTTTAAATAATCCCAATTCTAACACTAATCACTTCATAAAGATACCAAAACAGTTTCTGATACCAAATTGCAGTTGTATGGAACTAGTTTAAATTAAAAATATCTCACTTTACCAGTTGAAAATTGTGTTAAAATTTTCAACTTTAAAGTTACACTTAACAATTATAATGCCATAAAGAATGACCTGTAAATAAATGTTCAAATTAATAAAAAATGTATCATTTTTTTAGAACTTTATTGTGAAAAATTTCATTTAAAACAATGTATGCAATTTCACTTAGTTCAATGAATGAAGTTTATTTTATTTAACTTCGGAACTGAAGGAGGGGAAGTCAAAGTTGTTGAGGACCAAATGTTCATTGCTAATATTTTATAAAAGAAATTTGCATTCCATAATAAAAGCTAATTGCCCAATAAATTGTTAAGAAGTATTGTTTTCAAAATTCATCATCTGAATATTCCAACCTCATTCAATCTAGAGTAATATAATCACTACATTCCTTTTTTAATATCATCAAAATTAGAAATGTATTCAGTGTCATTAGAAAATGAACTTAGAATGATGTTGATAAACATGAACATGGCGTGCAAAGAACTTCATACAACTATCAAATCGGATACAGAAATTTTATTTTTAATTTATTTTATTTTTTTAATGGCTGTTGTCTTAATTAAACAAACCTGATTTATTATTTCTGATTATGTCCCTTACTTTTAGGCTATTTTTGTGAAATGTCCCTAAATTCAGTTTTCAAGGTGATACCTGTATTCCAGAATGTTATGAATCCATTGCACAGTCATTATTTTAGAGTTTACGTTAATGTCAAGTTGTTACAAAGATGTATTAAAAAAAGCTAAAGTTAGTTAAAGTTAGCTAAGTTTGATCTCTTATCATCATAACAAAACACAATTATGTTGCCATAGTTATCAATATTTTAATTGTGAGTGTACCATCTGACACATTGAATATTTTTCTTTTTCTTCCCTTTCTTTTGTTCCTTCTTTCTTTTTAAAAAATTCACCTAAAATCTTTGTACTGTCTTTGTTAGTTGGCAGTTTTTTTTAATACATGACCACCTTTTCCTGGATAACTTATGGCACTTGAAGTTGTTTCTATGACCTAACTTCTTCAGAACTTTTACCATGACCGTAGACTTAACCTTTTTCCCCCATTGCTTCAACAGGAGTCTGAGACAAATAAATTAAAAGGAAAATTAGGATAAAAAATATGAAAATGTATTTGCATTTGAAGGAGATGAAAATTTTGTACAAGTGATTAAAAGCAAACATAATGAAGTTGCTATATCCTCAGTAAGCCCATGATATTTATTTTTGAAATTATTAAAATCAGTCATAGAAAAGTTTTTTTTGTTTTTTTTCTCAACATTATTGATGGTTTTACCATCTGTAATAAAAACAAAAGTCTGTCATTTACTTTAATTTTTAAAAGTTAGCCCATTTCTTTGTTACAGTGAAATTCCATTTATAAGTTTCGCCCTTGTATGTTTTTCACTTTTATAAATTGTTTTGTGTAAGTCCTGGATATATTCCTATACTTCCTATGCTGAATTATTTTAGATATGTGTTTTACGAATATATGTGTTTTTCTTACTTGTACATTTTTTTCTTCAGTCCCCTGAAAAATGTTTAAGTGAACTTTACTGTATATTGGTTCAGACTTCTGCATAAAAAATACATACTTCATGAGTTTGAAAATTTTGTGACATTACTTTTATAGATATGGGCAGATCCTGCAGATATTAATGTACTCCCTGAATATAATAAAGATCCTCGGGTAGTAGAAAACTTGTTGGATGGGGTGAATCGAACACATGATGACATGCACCTGTGGCTTGTGCCCTTCACTCCTGGTGCCCATCATTACATCCATATGGTGTTCCATCATAAAGTGCAATTAGCAATGATTCGAATATGGGTGAGTTACATTGATATTGCAGCATCAATGTTTATAAATCATGGTGTATTGTAGTAATTTAAATTTCTGCTGCACTGTTTCAATTCCAGAATTATAATAAGTCAAGAATACATTCATATAGAGGTGCACGAGATGTTGAAATATCTCTTGATGGAGTCAAGATATTTCGAGGAGAAATAGCAAGAGCTTGTGGAGGAATCTTGGGAGGAACAGAAGCATTTGGAGATGTTTGTACCCACTTTATCATTTTTTGTTGTTTTTATTTATTTTGGTGAAGTGAATAAAAAGTATTAAAGTTTTGAATTATAGCATTATTATAATTAGAAATCTGAGGAATAAGTGGAGCAATTCATATGGGACATCTGAAGATCTGTCATAACTAAGCAATTTAACAAATAAGAAATGAGAAATTTGAATAGATAACAAACCATTTATTTAATTATTAAAACCAATAATCTCAGAATAAATACCAGTTGAAAATAAAGTAATTTATTTGATATCCAAACAGTAGTAGAATAAATTTTAATCATAAAATAGAAGGGTGATTATTTGAAGGGCTTAATCTAAATAGTTCTCTGTCACGAGTTCATCCACTGCATTCTTTCATCTTTCACAATTTTTATTATCCTCACTCAATTAATTACCATTGATTTGCTGTGCTGCAACTCAGTCACTGTTACTATCATTATCACACTTTTTCTATCATTATTGAAAACAATTTTGAAGATTAATTAAAACTCACAAATAATAAGGAAGCTATGAGTAACATAGTTATTTCTATTTACAGACCATTCTCTTTACAACAGACGAACAGATCTTGGAATCAATGTCTCATTTTGACAACTCATTTTCTAACGTATGGTGTGAGGCAAAACCAGAACCAGTTGCAGAGATTGAAAGGCCAGTCACTGCCTACTGCTGTGTATGTATTGAAAATTAATTCTCTTGGCACATTGCAACCTTGCAGATTGGGTACATGCAATGATTATGAATTTAATTAAAAAAATGTTGGCCTGTGTAAAATACTGTCCTTTGTAAGTAGGGCCAACTGTAGAACATTAGGAAAGCTGAAGAAATATTACTGTAAAATTGTTATCTCATGAATATTGTTGCATTTGTTTCTGAAAACTTTAATCTTATTTTCATAACTGAGATATAATTTATTACTGGTGTTAAATATATTCATATTTGTTTTGAAGGTAACCTTGTTTGGAAGTAATTGGGAACATAAAAAGGACTAGAAGAAAAAATTCAAACCACATACTTTCGGATTAATTTTAATTAATGTTCAAATTTTTGCTTCAGGGAGAGAGACCGTTTACATGTGCCAGATCTATTAATACAAACACATTGGATGAAAATAATGTAGTTCTGGGTGGACAAAAGCTAGAAATCAACATTCTGGAGAACTGGGGTCATCCAGCATTTCTTGGTATTTATAATTTTTTTGAGACATGAAAAAAGCCAATATCTTTAGACCTTTATTTGACTTCTTTAGACCTAGGATTATATTTGGTATGTTTACAACTAGGTTTAACTGGATTTGAAATTATTGGAGATTCTGGTTTACCTATAGCCATTGAGCCTCAGTACTTCCACTGTAGTATTTCTTCTCCAGATATCTACAGGTAAGAGAAGGAAGTTTCTTTCAGAATAGACATTTATTATTTTTTTATCCTTCTATTCTTTCATTGAGGTCTCATTCCCACAAATATGAAATTTTTGTTTTTCAGACTGATTGATGGTACAAATCTTACCACAGATGAAAATCATATGTGGCTTTGTAATGTTCCTGATTATGAATCAGTCACTTTAACTGTTACGTTTCCTACAGTCCATTATATTGTGGCAATAAGGTTGTGGAATTACAATGCATCTCAAGATATGACATATTGTGGGGTAAGACAATTTACATTAAGGATCTAGAAATTAATTTTGAAAACCTTAGACAAGAATAATCCTTTTGTATTTAAAATAATGGTTTCAGGTTAAAATTCTGACCTTGCTTTTGGATGGAAAACTTGTGTCTGGGAATACAACTATACGACGAGCCCCAGGAAACTGCCATTTTAATTTTGTTCAAGAATTGCAGTTGACTGGGAGTAAAAATTATAATATAACAGATGACCACTCATGCCGCAGTCATTCAGACCAAAAACAATCATTCCAATTAGAACATAATGATGCTATGGATCTAGAAAACATGAAAGCCAAGAGTGTATCATTGCAACGTCTGTTCACAGAAGAAGAGAATGAGAATAGAAGGCTTGGAATTATATCTCATTTGTCCATATCTCAATCTGCTGAAAGTCTTCATTCAAGGGACATCACGCAAGAATTATCCAACTTAAGATCTCATTCTGTACCTCCTCCAATGCATTTGAGAGTTAATGTAGATCCTGAATATGAAGCTCCATTTATGCCTCAAGGATTTATTTTTCAATTACTTTTATTCTCAACATGGGGAGATATGTATTATGTAGGACTGAATGGATTAGAAATATACGACAACGAAGGCTGCAAAATACAGTTGACTGAGAATAGTACGTATTTTAGATGTATTTCCCAAGTATTCAAATTTGAAATAATTAAGCTTATATTTTGATAAAAATATTGTTTTTTACTCTTAGTATAAAGACCTCTACAACCCTTCAGTTATTATTAGACGATATCTTTGTTTCTATACTGTCAAGAATCAAAATTTGATACCTTTTAGAGAAGATATAAAAGAGGTAGTCTAAGTCATATTCTCATCTTCTTCAACAATTCTTGTAATTATATTTACTCCAAATATTCCATTGATTATGATTTTACTAGTAATAATATTTTTCTGTCTTTTGCAGTGAATTAAGCTAAAATTTGTCAAGATTGAATCAGTTTACTTAACAGTATACTTAAAAGTTTCTACATTTATTGAATTGTGAAACTTGTGGTGTATACAGCTTTTTTCTATGTTGCATGATATTTTCTATGATTTTGATTTGTAAGAGAAATATATTTCATTAAACATAAATTGTCAAAGTACCTTTGATAGTAATTATATGAATTATTTTTAGATATAGGAGCTTATCCTGAAAGTGTGAATGTTTTGGAGGGTGTAGATAATGATGCTCGAACTCCTGATAAACTTGTTGATGGAATTAATGATACTTTTGATGGGCGTCACATGTGGCTGGCTCCAATACTACCTAATCAAGTATGCTTTTTTTAAATTTACCATCTAATAATTCTGGAAGCAAGGAAATTACAATTCAACTCCCTGAATATTTCTGAAAGTTAATAGGGCACCAATGTTGTAGGATTTTTAAATTAGATTGCCCCACAAAATTTTAATTATTTTCATCTACATTCACCAATATTGAGATTTTAAATCAAAATTTAGAAGTCCATATGTAATATTAGTAAAAATGTAGAATCTTTACTGATTTTAATGTTACTACTTGTTTTCACAGCTAAATCGGGTTTACATAGTGTTTGATTATCCAGTGAAAGTGTCAATGATCAAACTTTGGAATTATGCAAAAACACCTTCTAGAGGAGTTAAAGAATTTGGAGTAAGTGTCATTTCCTCTGTTTTTATTAATGGTTTTCTTCCAAGTTATTTTAAATAACATTATTATTTTCAGATTTTAGTTGATGATTTGGTTGTGTATAATGGTATTCTTGAAAAAGTACCTCCTCAGAATTGTGTCAGTTATCCAGAAGTACCTATAAAAGTGCCTTACTGTACAATTATTTTTACACAGGATGAAACATTGGTTTCCGAAACTTCAGATAATACACGGTATGCAAATTTAAAAGACGTGCATCTTTGAGTAATCTGAAGATTCACATATTTTTTTTCTTTGCTAAAGCATAAGCATTCTTTCCATTGTCAGAGCTTAAGATATAGTTAATTTTCTGTTTTGCTTCCAGAAGTGTTAGCAGAAAGTCACAGGTCAACTGCCAGCAAAGAGTAACATCAGGAAGTGATTCCTGTTATTCTGCAGATCAGTCTCTGAGACCATTCACATCACTAATGCCACGAAATAGTCATACTATGAATGTTTTATGACTGACATAATTGTGTGCATATCTTCTTTCCAGTGATGCCTTAAATGCCTCTCTTTAATTAATATAATTATTAACAGTACAATGAAAAAGCTTTTATCTCAGGAAGTAGAAAGGTATTGAAAATATTTAGTGAAGCATAATTTTAAGCATTACCTTTGAAAAATTGTTTATAGAATCAATTGAACTTCGTGAGAATTAATCTACAACAGTAGATATTTTACAAGATACAATACTGAAGAGTTGTGGTACCTATGGCAGAAATGTTCTCTAATGTAAATGCAACAAATTGCTTTTGAACATTTTACAATTTTAATAAGTGTTTATGTAAGTTTCAATGTGTCTACGGAGATCAGTTCATATTTAATAGATGAACCATTTTGAAAGTATTCTGGAAATAAAAAAGCTGTAGTGAAATTAGCTATTGTTCTCTAAAAATTAATGATATTGTTACCAAAAGTAAATGTATATTTTTTCTTGGAATTTAATGCAGTAAACTTGCATTCTTGATTATTTTCTCAAACGTGTTAATTGTTACAGAAAAACCACAATATTTTGTTTTGCCAATTCTTCGTTGATGTTAATTATCATTCATTTATCTTTCTTTAATGATTGTAGAAGTTATATCTAAGCAGTACAAAAAATAATAGAAAGATGAATTACTAATGACAGCAATCTAGTTACATAAAGCTGGGTTACAATTTTAAATTTTTACTTTCTTTGAAATAGGTACTGGCATAGAAAATAATGAAATCTAATAAAAAGTATGAAAAAGACACAATAATCTAAATTTGCTCTCAAATGTTTTGCTTTTCTATCAGAATGTCGATGGAGTCGAATGTCGCTTATGGAGTCTTTTATATATATATTTCAACACACTGATTTTTTTTTCTCAATATAACATATTGAAAAAATAATAATGAACATGTAAATTAAATTCTGTTGTTGGGAGAATGTAAATTAATGAAGGTATCTGATAATGTAGAAATTATAAAACATTGTTTATATTTATCTCAGTGACTTGTTATGCATGATCACAATCGTCTGTTTGGGATGACTTATAAAATCAATTAATCAGTCTAAAGAATGACCATTATTTCAGAAAAAAAACAAGTAGATCATTTGGCAAATGCTTTTATATACTAAGCACCTTGCTGCCTGAAAGAAAGAAGAAAAAGAAGAGACTGAGTTTTATTGCGATTGAAATAGTTAGATTTGATGTTATTAAATAATTTGGTACACAAGATATACTTATGTGAAATCATCAAACAACAAATTTAGTTATGTCCCAATGATGATGAGGTTTTCATCCTTTTACTTATTCCTTTTGAATTGTATTAATATTATATATAATCTCTAAAATTTAAAAATACCAAACGTTCTTTAAAAATACCAAACAAAAAAAAAAACTCACAGAAATACATCCTGAAGATTCTTACAAATTCAATGAAATCTTATATTCTCTAAAATTGAATTTGTAAAATCACTACTAATGACGAATGTTCTGGAAACCAAATGTTAGAATATTTCATTATTAAAGCAATTATTTTATTTGTAATACCCAGAGAAGTAAAGATTTGAATTCTTTGCAAATGAAAAAGTGCAATTTTATACAAAAACATCAATTTTTTTTATGAAGACTAATAAAAATAGGTTCAATGACTTCACCTCTCTTCACATGATTTTATGTTATTACTCTCACTTCTGAATGCTTTAGAAACAAAAGATAGTTGAAAGAAAAAAACTACAAAATTCTAAAGATGTTAAAATGGTTGGTAAGTAAATTCTTGAGGAGATCTGATAGTAATTAGAAAACCTCTCATGCATGAATTATTGAAGACTGAAGCCTGTGGTATATTGCATTAATCTGGAGGGGTTATTCTCCTTTTGGAGATTGAAAAGACTGGTGTGGAAAAGAACAATTATTATAATCAGAAATCACACAGAATTAATTTTGGAGTTTGAGTTGCCTAATACTTTTGTACTAAAGCATTTTGTTTAAAGGGACAATGAGAATTTGCAATAAAAGAAATGAACATTTTGAATGATATTTTAATTGAATTGGTGATTTTGTAAAGGGCATGAGTCATTGAAACAAATTTTTTCAGGAAAGACAAAAAACTTTCTATCATGATAGAGAACTTCTAAAATTTGGATAAAGTAATGTGTTGTACCCTAATCTTGATAAATATTTGGAGTAGTATATTATTATCAGTTATTGTGCTTGATTTCACTGAAAATAATTAATATTGTTTTGTGACTTGTGCCCTTTATGTTGTCAACTGAGTTATACCACATTATTATAGGTGGAAATCATACATTGAACTCAACGAAATGTGTTTTTTTATTTTCACAAATATCAAATTCAAAACATTATAACATTTTAACTCATATTTAAGTCACTCATATCCCAGTTATTTACTATGTCTGTTGGCTTCTATTTCAATCATTGGCCCGGCTGTTAATTGAGTATAAAAGGAAATGTCTTGTCAGTATGATCTGATAAGTCATCTGTCATTGATTATTGTTTTACATTACAAAGAATCTTTCCCTGGTAGGGTCTTACAGGACCTTGTAGAGAAGTAGTAAAGTAGTACTCTTTTCTTGAGCAAGAGCAAAAGAAGGCTGTGTTGGCCCATTAATAAATCCTCTAGTTTTTCTTTCACCACAATGTAATTAAACAATGGTAGTTTGATCTCTAAAATCTCTAGTATCTTTCTTACAAGACTTTCACTGAACTCAAAATAAGATTCAATAACATACAAACTACTTTGTAGTTCTTATTTTAGCTTAGATAGCTGCAACTGAATATTTATTTTATGTTTTCTGAAATTTTTTCTCAGAAGTTCATCATAAATTAACAAAAAATCTTCTTTAGGGATTAACTAGCCTTTCCTTCATAATTCTGATACAAGTTTGTTGTGTTAGTGGCCAAATTGTGAATCCAGTATGTATCCATATTATTAATTTCCAGTGCTTGCAGAAATTGAAAGAAAACTATACAGCCTCCAGCTTGGTGTGGTTTTACTAATTTTGAATCCGTAGAGAAATTAAAAGAAAACAATGCAGTCTCCAATATGTATGGTTTTGTTAGAAGCATTCAGGAAAAATCTAAAACAATTAACGTTTTGATTTTAAATGAAAAATGCAAATAATTGATAGTGTTATATATTTATAGTGTAATTGTCATACTCAGTGTGTCACTACTTACAACACAGCTGATGTCATGTGATAACAAGGTTCCCAGGAAAAGGCCACCTGCCATTACATATTTTCATGTTGCTTTGTGGAATAGTAACTTTTTTGCTATTCTTGGTAAGTAAAGAAGTGATGTATTGTAAAGATACTGTTATTGCAGTAATCAAGAAGACAGTATTTTGTGTGGTTTTCTTCAGCAGCATTTTTGCTGATGCAGGTTGTTAGTTTACTCCTTATTGTCTATTGTACAAACTTTTGGTGCAGGGATGCAGGGTAAATAAAATATCTGTATGTAATCAATAGCAATTCTTAAAACATTGTCTTTCTCCTTCACGAATCCATGGGGTGGGGGGCATTGGAGCCAAGGCATAAGGGCAAAAGGCCTAGAGTTTTCATTTGCCTTCTGTTATTTGGCAAAATTGATTTAAATATTTACTGATGTATAAATTATGCAATTATTTAAACAAAAATATTGTATAGTAGCATATCTACAGTACATCAATAATATACAATGTAATAAGAAATATGTTTATTATTTAACAAAAATCTGCAATGGTCCCCTCCAAAATAATCGGCAGGATCTGCCCCTGATCTCCTTGCCCAAGAAACCAACTGATTTTGTGTACTGAATAATTGATGTCCTTGTAACAATTCAACAGTTGACATCATGTGTCAGTGACTCATTTCCTTTGAACCGCCAATGAAAATTTAACAAGCCTTCATCTGAAACTGGATTAGTGTACCTCATGCCCATTCTACACTAAATAATGTACATATGGAATTTCAAAAATATCAATTATAACTTGATTTGTGAAAAAAGTATACTCCTGCCCTTTATGAAATCACTGATTCAATTAAACAACTGAGGAAGAGTTAATTTGGTTACATTTGATTTGTCCTATACATTATGTTATTTGCAAAAGAAAAGGTTAGAATCAGTAAAAGAGACCTGGACATTGATTTGCCTACATATTACGTACTTGCCATTTGCAGAATAACAATTGATAAAATACTCAAGGAGCCTTTCTACTAGCAATCAGCAAAACTTACTGCTATTATGAACATTAAGGCTTTTAATACAATTTTTCACAGTAATTTATACTGAAGAGTTTATATTGTTTCAGCGAATTGTTCAGCTATCATTAATGCTAATTTATTTTACTACTAGTTGGCATGTAGAGATTTATTCTTATTGTTGAAGGGATTTTAGTTCCTCAACTTTCTTACCATCATGCCCCATCAAATGTTTTGCAGCTCACAATTTACTTTTTTTTGGAAAAATGAAAAAAATATTATATGAAGTATATTTATTGTATGTTGAACATAATATATTGTTTCTGGCTAACGGGTAATGCAAGAACACAGAAAGAACTACAATAGGTGTACCTTTCCTAAATTGAAGGCATTGATGCTGAAATAAAATGTAGGCAAGTAAATAAATACTGTATGTATTTTTTCCTGAAAAAACTACATGAATTTCTTTACACACAAATTTCATAACAAATAATTCTTATTTACTGATTTCTAACAAGTTTTGTTGCAGTTATTTTAATACAAGAGTGATAAAAGTTAAACTGAATATGCTAGTGCTGAAAAAATGAATTCTTATTGTTCATTAAAGATAATTAAAAGAAGGCTTGTCTCATTGTCTTGTTCATGTTTAGGATGTTTAAAGAAAACTTATTATAAAACTCATTTCCCTGTGTGTACAAATCTTTATTTCAACAAATATCTGAAATTCATTCATATTAAAAAAGTTACATTTTGTCTCAAGAATTTGAAATAATGAACATTATTTATGAAATAATTGTATAAAAAATTAGTCTATCTTGGAAATCAACTGTTATATTTTTCAAAAAATTTTGTAATACTAAAAAAAGGAGGTAATTCAGAAATTATTATCAATGCTAGTCATTAAAATTATGGAAAAAAAGGTACTGAAGTGACAGCAAAAATTTGCTTTCAACTTTCAACAGCCATTTAAGAGGGTAATAGATATGACAAATGTTTATTTGTATAAAAGTAAAGAAGGGAGAGTCATTATAATAGTTAATTTGAAATGTCAAAAATAAACCAATAAGTGATAAAAATACAAACGAGTTTTATACTTAATTTAGCTCAAAGTGTAATTCTGAGACAGACAACATTTTTCTGTTATGCAATAAATACTCTTATATTGACTTCCAGCAACACCAATCAGAATATAATGAAAACAGACAACTATTTTTGGTAATGTGGTGACTCATTTTGATTGCATGTAAGGACCATATACTCTCTGGACCATAGTGCAATGTGTATCAATGATCTAATAAAAACCCATAATAATATAACCCCTGTCAATATAACAAAAATAAACTCTCGCCTTTGATGTTAACTCCATAACAGCTTATCAAATTTAAATCAACAGAATTCACAGGTCTTAACAAGTCCATTTGGGAAAAAGACTTCAAGAGATACTTTCTCTAATAAATGCTCAATTTTCAGAGAAAGTTATGTTGCTGAAATGATGTGACTTGTTTTCTTTCGAAAAAAAAAAAAAATGTTTAAAAAATAAAGAAATATTAGGAATTAGTAATGTATTTAATAATTTTTAATGAGGAAAGACATCTTTTTGATCCCCTTACCATTCATTATACATGTAATGTTTTTCTTCCGCAGACAATATGCAAGTTTCACTTCCTATTATTCTTGAATGAAAATTGATTTTGAAAGAGTCAAACATTCACGCGAGATTTACCAATGAGATTTGACACTGACTTCACCATTCGGCAGGAGTCAAAAGCTGTTGCAGATGGGACAATGGCATAGTGTACTGGTATTTCAGGTACAACAATAATAATGGAAATTCGCACATTTCGGGCAATTAGTTTTCGGCGGCCAACATGGTTATAGATTTGGTCCGTTTGGTGCAATTTATTATGTAATAACGCTCGCACTGTCTTTCCCATCACTGCATTCGGGTACAATAGGAGCCAAAAAGTGCACTGCCTTTGCTGAGCCATGGTTAGGTTGGTGCAACAGTCATGTACTTCACTATCCTTTGATTGGTGCTGGTGCGGTAGGCTGGTGTACGACGGTATGACCTACGTGTACCACATGCTCAACATTAAGTAATCGAGTATACAAAGGACTTGCCATCAGACGCTTGACCAAAGTCTGGTCTGATAGTGTAGGAAGATTACGTGTGTTGTGCGTAATGGTTCCATTTGCGGGGATAATAAATAGTTTATATTTTGAAAATAAACTACTGGATTTATTTTCCAGTATATATCCGAACAGGATAATGTGAAATCACTACTTAATGTTTTAATACAATAGTTTGTGAAACACCTTTTGTCGATGGAACTGGAGGAGTGCCTGTAGACCAATTAAACTCGAATAACTGGCCTGACAACTGGCGAGTCATTGCGACACGATTGCAGCACCCACCACTGAAGCACCCAAGAGAAAGTGTCACTTGGACAGCACCAGGCAGGACTTCGGGGAATGTTGTTCACGCTCTTTCGAGATGAAATGAAGATGATATTCTTGGAAAGAACGGACAATATCTAGTGTACATTACGTGTTGCTGACGGAAATGTATTTTGAATGTTCAAAAATAAACATTTTAAAGTATACTTTGTCTGAGACATTAGTAAGTAACATATTCCTTTGTAGATATAGTTGTTTAGTGTGTTACAGTAGTATGTTTGTTTGGAATTGCAGACGTCGCGATGCAAATGTCAGTGGGCTTTTTGTGGTCGGTTTTGTCAGTTCTAATTCTAAAACGAATTTATATGAACGCATAAATCATGCAATAAAAATAAATTATGAAAAACTAGATGAATGGACATTCAACGTTCACACTCGATGTGAATTACTCAAACTCACCACTTGAATTCAGCTTAATGTACATTTTTGTATTATGTTTATTTCAGTTTTGGGTATTCACGTAAAAAAAAACAAACAATGGATTTGAACCATGCTTGAAATGGCAGAAGAAGGAATTTTGCATAACAATTCTACAAACAGCCATGTGGAGAGAGAAGGGGAAGATCATATGCCTAACTCTGCAGAGGAAGAAAGGTTAGTTTTTTTTTTCTAGTTGTTTCTGATTTATAATGTGCCATGTATATATAATTTCAAGATATTTTATTTTAATATGTATTGTATTGGTTGTCAAGAAGTCATAGGTTGCATTGGCCATTCCTTAAGAATGAAGATACAGTTTTTTTGATAATAATGACAAGAGCATTGAAACTAATCATATTTATGATACCAAGTAATGTAGCGTTAGCCTGATTTCTTTACATTGAGAGCTGTGACCTGTTTGTTCTTAATTTTCATTTATTTGTTTGTATGTGTATATGTAACAAACTTTGTTAGTTATGTAGATTAAATGAGTTACAACATTTTTAATAGCTTGATTTTTTTAAAATTGAAATAACTACATTAGAAAATGTGGTGTGATGCATATGACGACTTCATATGTAGTGTTTAATCTTTTAAAAGGAAGATAAGCATAAGTATTGGGAATGATATTGGTCCACACTATTTTTGGTAGAATCTTTGGCTAGGTACCAAAGGTTAGTAGCCAATGAAAATGGGAACATTCTTTAAGGTTATTTTTATTAGGTGAGCATTGACCTGATGGAGTTAAATAGGGAGGACATTTATTTTGCAGAGGATGAAGCGAGATCGTTATAGATTTTTTATGTACTGTTTCATTATATATTAAATTTATCAATAATTTTATTGAAATGGTATTTATACATTGATTTCATAGTATTGTAAATTGTTTCAGTAGTAAGCGAACTTGCTGGGTTTGTTTTGCCACTGATGAAGATGATGCGACTGCTGAATGGGTTCAACCTTGCAATTGCAGAGGAACCACAAAATGGGTAAATAAATATAATGGGAATAACGTTATTACAACTTGAAAATATTTCATGAATTAAATACACAAAACACTGTCTTAAATATTGGTGATTAATTTGTGCGCAGGTTCATCAATCATGCATCCAACGATGGGTTGATGAGAAGCAAAAAGGCAATCCTTCAGGAAATGTGGCATGTCCACAGTGTAATACTCAGTATATAATTGTCTTCCCACACATGGGTAAGAAGTTTGATATTTGCAGTTTACATTTTAATTTCAAGATTGCAAGTTCTAACATGTTTTTTTATTGTCATAGGACCCATTGTTGTAGTATTGGACACTGTTGACAACATAGTATACAAAGTATGCCCGTTTATGGCAGCTGGAATTGTAGTAGGTTCAATTTATTGGACAGCTGTCACCTATGGAGCTGTGACTGTCATGCAGGTGTGTATTTTGCTTTGTATTGTCCTTCATGTTTGAAAGAAGTGCAAGTTTGTGAACTTATTTGAACAAAAAGTGTGAATATTCAAAAATTGGCTTCTTTTTAGGTTGTGGGTCATAAAGAAGGAATGATGGCTATGGAACAAGCTGATCCATTAGTTTTATTAGTCGGTCTTCCAACCATACCCATCATGTTGATTCTCGGCAAAATGATTCATTGGGAAGACACTGTTTTGGGCTTTCTCAGAAGACATTCCTATAAAGTTCCAATTTTAAGACACATTTTGCCAGCAGGGTAAGTTTTATGAATTTGTGATGATTGAGTAGTAATGTAATGGCTTTCAGCTCTTAAATTATGCTCTACCTCACAAATTAGACTGAAGTCCTGTCCTGGAGAGATCTGTCATTTTAATTGCTTCTTGTGGTTTGTGTCAAGGCCCAGTGATGAGCGGCGAAGTAGTACTTTTGACTTCCCTCCCATGGCTGATCCCGTATCAGCAACGCGTGTTCTTTGTGGAGCACTTCTTCTGCCAACCATAGCAACATTAGTAGGGAAACTTTTGTTTGACTCTGTTGAATCTAATTTGCAGAGGGCCTTTTTGGTAAATATGTGACCATATTTTTTTATATGAAAATATCAATATATCATTTGAAAAAATAAATAAATTTTAAAAAAATTGAATTAACCTGTTTAAGTATTACATATAAAACTGAAAGGAAAAATATCCTGTATTGTTGGACATTTGTTATGGTATAAAGCAAACAATAATGAAAGAAATATTTTTTGTGTAATTGCCTTTAATGATTTTTAAGCGTATGGTTATGTTTCTCAGGGTGGAGCTGCTTTTATTGCAATTAAAGGATCATTGAAAATTTATCACAAGCAGAAGCAGTTTGTCCGTCAACACCAACGAAAAATTTTGGATTACACGGCTTCCAACCGCATTGCTACGTCTCGAAATGCAGTAAACACTCAATCGCCAACTCACGAATCAAGATAAATTGTATGGGAAATTAGAAACTAGAATATTTGTTGCTGTGAATATTGACAAGCAAGACACCTTGTGAATGGCATAGACTGTCTGTGATGATTGTACATATATATTGTATTCATCTCTATATTGAGATCTTTATAAAAGACTTTTTGTTTTGAAAAAAATATATTTAAAACAAAGAGAGCAGTAATGATGGTGTGATGTACAAATGTATTATATTTAAAAAGATTTCATTTAGGATTTGTGACAATTTAGCAATTTTGGTGCCGCATGAATTACTCAAGTTAATGGGAATAATGGATGGCCTACTTTCACTATTGTCTTTGACATAATTGTGTACAATAAGGTACCTAATGAGAATGTTTTCGCATGCCTTGACAAGATATTTCTGTAAAGCAAATGTGCTCATCAGTTTCAAGGACTTCAGGCATTTTTTGCTTATGCACATTACTTTAATATGTTGTATTCAATATCTCTGACTCAGACTGTATAGTAAGAACCTTCAGTGGAATTCCCTTCAGTTGAAGACTTCATACCAATTTTAATTTTTGTATGATTTTAATACTTTTTCAATATTTATGAATGCTTGAATTGATTGGTTGAATAATTAAGTATTTTGGAATGTCAGTTTAAGAAGGCTGTAACAAGTTTGTTTTGTTCAAGTTTCAAATAATGTATGTGTTTTGGAACAAAATATTCAAGAATTTTTTTTGAAGGGTTTTTAAATATATTGTTAATTTAAAAAGCAGTTTGATATAAATTTATTTCTTTTAATTCCATTTGTTTTTATCAAGAAACAAACAAGACATTTTAAATTTCAATTGTATTCCTTTAAAAGTTTTGGATACAATCTGTAAAAATTAACAAGGAAATACAATGTAACTTGTGTATCCCAAGGTTATATTTATGATAAATGGTTAATATTATACTTTTGTTTTTCATTTTAATTCATCAGAGAAATAATGTTAAAGTTTATGAATATTAAAATCCACACTACTATGTAGTGTTTTACAATCCCAAAAGTCTATTGAAGAAGACATTGCATGCTTATGTTAGTAGCACTGATGAATTCCTTAGGAGAAATTTTATGTATTTAGAATTTTTTAAAGAGTCATGTGATGTTATTCATGTTATAATGTATGATATCACTTTATTAGAAGTATTATCATTGTAATATGTCCTGTAATTTGTAATTACTGAGCATAAAATTGATTTTCTATTAAAATAATAAATCCTTACCACGGTTATTCCATTGAGCTCTAATTGTTGAAAGATAAAAAGAAAATATTGAGGTACATATTCCCAGGAGATTAAGAAGTAAACAATACTACAAATGCTGCAATTAAAATATTTTAAAGGGAATAATGAAGTTGTATCATCTTGTATTACCTTCTATATTTTAATACCGTATTTACCCGAATATAAGATTCCTTGATTTTGAAGAGGCTTCTACAGGTTTTTTAAAATTTTTAACTAATTCATACTATTTAGACATAAAATTGTCTAATTGACTAGAAATTATCTTTTGCCTCTGCTATCACTTTTCTTGTTCCTCAGAATCATTACTTGTGTCACTTCCATCTTCACCTTCACATGCATCATTGTTTTGTGTTTACAGGTCAGTCTTTTTCCCCCTCCTGAGAGTTTTGGGCTTCAAATTTGTGTTCTGACTTCACCATTCTCTTCCTCATTACGAGATTTTCTACCTGAGACACTTATTCATGATATCTGATTATGTAACAATCATTAACTTCAAATTCTGATACCAATGTGAACTGCAAATACGTACTTCTGACTCCCTTCTATGAGTGATGCCAAGAATGTCCTTGAATGAAATTATGTATTACAGATTTGTGTGATAGTTATCACTTTTACAGCTTATTTTTGAGCTAAGTCACCATTTGAGTTTCTTGATACGGAAAGGCTGTGCAACAAACTCCAACCGTCTAGATGTACTGTAATCCAAGTTCCTAGTAATCCAACTAACAAACCCCATCTAGATGTACTGGGATCCAAGATGACTGTAATTTTTGGACGAGACGTTTGGGAAAAAATCTATTCTTATGTTTGGGCAAATGCGGTATTGCTTGCTGTTCAATAGGTCAGTTTGATGCCAAACATCAGAGTAGTCTCTATGAATGATGTCTTTTAACATAAAAAATATTGTTTATTTGATATTTATGTTCCATTAATGATTTTTATCAATATTTCATAATTTTTAAGATTTAACTTACAAGAGTTTTGCAACAAAAAATGTGGAATCAATTGATCATCATACAATAAATTTTATAAATGAAAAGTGAAATGAATTTTTTTTATATAGCTCTGTTCAGAAGGCTGATGCCAAAATGTGCAGTATGGAACAAAGATGTTGATTAATTCTTACCATTTGGTACTCCATCATGGCTTTTTGTTCTTAGATTCAAGAACATTGGGAAGTAAGACTGCCAACACTAACATTTCAAAGGAATACAGATATGTCAGTTACTTTTGCATGTATGGTGATAGTAGAACTAATCTGTTTTAATTGACATTCTTATGGAAAATGTATGTTCTAAAATTTGCACACCAAAAGTAATGTGTCCGGCTAAACTGATCTGAAGGAAGATGAAATGTTCTTTATGCTTGTTAAGCAGGATTTTCACTTGAGCATTATTATTAAATTGTTAAGAACTTTGTGCCTAAGTGGTCTTTATTGAATATCTGCTTTTAGACCCTATGATAGTAATAAAAAAGTATTTGCAAAAGTTGTCTATGCGGTAGTGTAGCGAAGCTCATAGAGCACTTATTTATTACAGTACATGCACATGTTGACATGAGACAACAGCTGCCACAGGATCACAAGAAGTTGTCTCTGGGCATCATCAAAATCTAGCACTTTGAAATGTATTATTCCAATTTTTATGAGAGATTTTGAAATTTGGTGGACATAAAATGACCGTCCCTTGGTCAATGCAGGGTTATGAATGATATGTTCAATTCTACCAATAAATTATATTGGGTTTCTACCTGACGTGAGGGCCAAAACAGAGACTGGCCTACTATATTCTTTGCAATGTATTTTGGTAACTCTTGATGTAATTGGAATAATCATCACACTTTAGGGGTCATCCATAAATTACGTAGGCAATTTTTCGACTCCCCCTCTCCCATTGTGAGATATGGTTCGACGCCCTTGCCCCTTCTAATCACGTGTGATTTTTCAAATTGCGTATTTTTAATGAAAATTAATTGGGATTTATTTAAAACACAATTTGCTTAATTATGTTTATTTAAGATTAGATAGGACTAGTATTTAGAAAATAGAGTGGCTGAATTACAAAGAATATTATTGCTCATCTAAAAACAGTGCAACAATTCATTCTCGGTATTTTTCATTAAAATTTCTGTAAAAATACAGATAATGAGATTTATCCTACGAATGATAAAAAGTTAGGTAATTTTCTTCTCAGTATACTATGTTACTTATTGTAGCATTCACATATTCGCGATACAAATTACTGCGCAAAATATAGTCATTTTTTAGTACAGAAACGTGTTTTACTTGTCTCAGTTTGTCGCAATTTAGCTCTATTTTTAGCGAGAAAAAAAATTGGTGATATTTGCCGAGACCCCGCTCTGTCCTATTAGGGGTCATTAAGTGAGATTCGCCTTGTTCCGCTCTTCTCCTCCCTAAAGGCCCCTTAAAGGTAATTTTAAAAATTACATTTATGTATTTTTGAAAATACAAAAAATATTCAAAATGTATTTTATGTAATCCTAAACAGTGCAATTAGCACTATCCGTGCGAAAAGTTTGAAGAAAAATTTGGAGAAACTTGCGTCTAAGCGTTTCTAATAATGTGGAATTTTGAGATCGTTTGCAAAAAAATAAATATGTAAATAAATTTTAAAAAGTGAATTTTCGAGAAATTTTATACAACATTATTTAAAGCACATGTATTCTGAAACGCTATAATGTGAACAAATCTTCGCTAATATGTATAAATATGAATGAATTCGCCTATTAAAGACGTGAGAGGCTCATAAAAAACACATTTTTGTAATTTAAAAAATTTATGTAATGTCATTTATGTAATCTAATAGAGTATGTAAAACCTCAAAGCTTCGAGTCGAGCAAAATCGACCGGGGAATATCCATCTCGAAAACAAACTACGAATGGTTTAGGCGCTAGTGGTGTTTACAAATAGACGGACGAACGGACCAACGTCTTGGAGGAGAAAAAAAACACACTCTTTTCCGGTATCAGGGGACCCCAAAACGTATATTTCCGTTTAAGTATCGAAATCGATGTTCCGCAGCATTAAAAATGTTTTGGTCGAATGTATCAATACAGAGTTTGTAAAATGTCGGAGGCTACACTCAGCGCACGCTGCGATACGATTTTGTTCGTTTTAAAGATTATCCCAAAATATTTTTTCTTGTTACAAGTACTTGTTCACAAGTTAAAATTAAAAGTTAGTGAACAATTTTAGGGGGGGGGGAGTTCCCACATTTGGGTTTTCCCTCATGGATCCGCGGATGTTTGAGACAAAAATCCCTCTCTCCAATTTTGAAGTTTCAATTTTTTTTTTTCAATTTTCGAAAAATCGAACAAAAATGAAACCTGAACCATTCTCTTAAACGTCCTCTTCACTATTCAACAACAAAATTTAACCAAAAAATTCGGAGCCAGATTTTTTTTGAAAATTTGAAAAATTTTTAGGGGTTTAATGTAAAGAACCCCCAAAAACTATAACATCGGTGTAATACTTGAATTGCTGCTTGCTAGGCCCCGCTTGCACTCGCAATGATATAGGCAGGCAGGGCGTCGCATTTAAAGCAGCAAAATCATATCACAAATTATTTAAAATTTATGGGTCCTTGGGAGCTAAGTCCCTCCAGAAGACTGGAGGATGATGGATCAGCACAAGTGAACATGAAAGACAGACTATGTTTTAGCAAATGTCGAAGTAAGAGTCCTTTACTTACTAGAAATCAAGTTACATCAAAGTGACGTGGAGACCTCCGTTCAAATAAAACGGTAGCTGTCCCGGGCGGAGCCCGTTGGAGTATTTTATAGTACTCAGGGCTTTGTTCATCATACGCTTCCACTTGGGTGGCTCGTGGCCTCCCTTCCCCAAACATGACGTGGCCACAGGGCGTCGAACCGCCTTTCTGTGCTCATGCCTCTACTTCGGATATGTCGTCCGTCACCTTAAGGGCTTACTCTTGAAGCTGAGGGCTGCTAGCGGGTGGCCTCATGACTCAAGAACCCACGTGCCTAAGTACTCATATTAATGGATACTTCCCAGTAAAATGCGTCATGTTCAAAGCACCTATAGAGTTTTAAAAAGTATTATTAAAATCATTTCAGTTACAATCATAACAGTTACAATAATTAGTTACAATTATTACAGTTACAATAGTTACAGTTACAATCATCACATCGGTTTCATGGATTTTGGCTACACCACGTACTGCTTTAGCACAACTATTTAAAGATGGTTCTTGATTCAACATCCTGTGCACTTTCTTATTGTTTGAACTTTGTCCTCTGGTAGGAGAAGCAATTAATGTTTCCTCTACTATAGCTCTACCAGCGTAAAAAAAAAAAACATTTCACTGCGCATGCCCGAAAGTGCAACCATCCAAAGCTACACACATATTTTCGCCTGCCTGCGCTCATTGTCGTAACATGTCTGTCCGTCTGTCCGTCTGTCCGTCTGTCCGTCTGTCCGTCTGTCCGTCTGTCCGTCTGTCCGTCGGTCCGTCGGTCCGTCGGTCCGTCGGTCCGTCGGTCCGTCCGTGTGTCCGTCCGTCTGTCCGTCCGTCCGTCCGTCCGTCCGTCTGTCCTTCTGTCCGTCTGTCCGTGTATCCGTCTGTCCGTCCGTCCCTCCGTTTCTCCTCCCCCTCTCTCTCTCTCTCTCTCTCTCTCTCAAACTGATTGAGTGAGAAGGGTCAGACGAAAGGCAGTTTACGGGTTTCTGTACTAGGGGTTGTCCAAATGATCAACAGAAAACAAGCCATGGCTTGAAGGACGGTTTCAGTAATAAGATTATGTAATGAACCAATACAATGATGAATTTCTTTGAACACTCCTGGCAGCGCAAGTTCCTCTTCTGGCGATGGCGAGTGACGGTCAGTGCGATCACTGAGTATCGCAGTCGCCTTTCCTTGTCGCCTACTCGCTTTCTTATCACCGAGAGGGGAAATCTCTGCTGCTGCAGAGTGGGGGAAGCCTCCGACACTTAACGAAAGATGCGTCCGCCATGATGGATTGTTTGCGAGCGGTACAGCTATAATATACTGTAAAGAATATTGCATCACCTGCCGGAATTCGCTGCGCGCGGATTGCGTCATCTGCCGGCACCCCTCCTTCACCCGAACTGGACGGTTCCGGACTATTCGCGAGTCGCATCGTGTGGTGGAGTAAGTGCTGGTTGTGTTGAGACGAGCACCGGCCAGGTATAAATCCGCCGCTGCCGTCGGCCGCGAGTTAGAGTAAGTAGTAGTCGGAAGTAAGCAGCCGCGAATCAGTTAGTGTATGTAATTAGTCAGTCCGTCAGTGAGTCTGAAGTGGAAGTTGAGCTGTAAAGAGTGCATTGCTGTGAATAGTGGTGCAGTGGGTGAACAGCAGTCTGCAGTCTGAAGTCTGCAGTGGAAGTTGAGCTGTGAAATGTGCATCACGATAAACAGCAGTGCAATGGACCCTGGTCTGCGCAGTGAATTGTGGTCTGCGCTGTGAATTATGGTCTGCGCAGAGAATTGAGGTCAGTGCAGTGAACCGTAGACAGTGCATCGGACTGCGTGATAGTGTAGAAGATGTGAACAGTGTAAATAAATAATCAGATTGTAGTGAACAGTGTAAATAAATAATCAGAAGTGTACTGTGTAAATAAATAATCAAGAGAACGGAGTCGTGTGTAAGGAAAATAATTAAGTATAGAACTCAAAGACTGTGTAATATATCTGTAAATATATCAAGTAGTTTTTAGTGTATCATTGTTACGAATAAACGTTTTTGTTAAATATTCCATTGAGTGTGTTTTAATCTGAGAAACGTTACAATACGAAGGGTGTTCAAACATTACGTGGACTGACGTCATAAAACAAAATGTACTTTATTTATAAGTTCGATGTCAAGGTGCCCTTCGAAGTACTCTCCTCCCCAACGCTACACTTATCCCAAAAGTGTTTCAACTTGTTGGAACAGTCCTGGTACGCTTCTTTTCCAACGCCATTCAACTCCTTTGTCGCATTTGCAATAATCTCGGGAATCGTCTCAAATCTTCCATTCAAGGGTCTTTTGAATTTGGGGATCAAGAAAAGTTACTAGGAGCAAGGTCAGGTGAGTAGGAAGGGCGAGGAAGAATTGTAATGATTGTAATTAATTTTTTTAAAATTCTGTAAGGTAGGAGCTTTGATCATAACGCAATCCACTGGGAAGAATCCATTAATTTGGATACTTTGGCACGTGGGTTCTTGAGACATGAGGCCACCATCTAGCAGCCCCCACCTTCAAGAGTAAGCCCTCTATAGGTGACGGGCTACATGTTCGGAGCAGAGGCATGAGCACAGAGAGGCGGTGCGACGCCATGTTGGCAAGTCATTTCTGGGGGGGAGAGGCCACGTGCCACCCAAGTGGAAGCGTATGACGAACAAAGCCCTGAGTACTATAAAATACTCCAACGGGCACCACTCGT